AGTTTTTGATGAAACTTATCTTCAGATTGGATAACCATCCATAAATTAGCTAAGTAGCTTAAAGCAGGATATATATATATAAAACATTTTGACGATAATCATATAATACAACGAATATTATATAAATAGAGTTAAAACAACTAGACATTAGGTTGAATTAAGTTGCGTACTTATATCAATCTTTCTATAAATTATTGTCCAACTATGTGTATAATGTTATATTCAAAAGCTTTATTTTGATAGCCTATACAAAACTGAATTCTTATTAGTGAATTATGGGTTCATTTTATTTGACCTAGATAATCAGATGATAAATGTGGTTTGAAAATCAATTGTTTATTCAAATATCAAGAATTCGAGAATGAAATTACTAATCATATTATCCCATCAAAGGAAGTTATTTATTTACAGCACCCAGTAATGTGTTACACAAAATGGAAATATTGTGAAAAAACCATAAGAAAAATCAACACTATTAAGTAGTATGAGATGCAATTCGAACAAGAACACAACTAGCATATATTTCACTAAGTTAGAAGGTGGGTATTACAGTATATGAAGAGTACAATCGAAAACTGTAGCACAATAGCTATTAACATTTATTTCGAATCATGCCTGTTAACCTTTTAATTTATTGAGTTACGCTGTCTTCAGGACTCCAGTCAGGAATTTATGAGGGACAATTGAATGCTGAACTAACAAAAATATTTTTTTGTTTACAAGCTATCATAAATTAACTAACTCTCCGAGCATCAAGAAAATAATATGAAGTATGATGATATTTTCATTTAACAGGTCTGTTAAAGATGCTAAATTACTATATACATTAAGAAAGAACTCAGTTTTTGAATTGACATATTGGTTAAAAGTGAAGTCTGCTTAGTACGTCTCAATGCATTCTAATTGCATTAATTCCTTCTTTAAGAAGTTGGTTTATTAAATTTCACAACATTTCATTGTATTAATTAACTTTATTTATTTTACCATATGAGTGATAACTGCTTAGTTCATAATCGTTAAATTTAATTGATATATTATTGAATCAAAGTGAATATAAATTCACTCTTGCTGTTTCTTATGGTACATTTTTCTTAATAAGATTTGTCTTTTAGAGTAGCTAGGGTTAGAACAGAATACAGCTGTTGTGTAAGAGTATTGATGTTGTGGTTAGAGTTATTAACAACTATTAAATAGAACTTGAGATTGAAATGTATCTTAAATTGTACTTCCAGATTATATCAGTATTTAGAAACAACCATAGGTGCTTAAGTTAACTGGGTTTTTATTCGCGAGCAATAATAATAATAATATAGTCTAGCATCTGAGTTACTACGTCTGACAAACTGATTCATATTAGTAGCGGGTTAAAAGCACAGGACCACAAAATTTTACACGATTGGATGATCTCCAAAAACACCTTAGGTGTTTATCAATTCTTTCATCAATGAAAGCTAGTAATATTATTACATGATTCATTGTCCTCTTCTCATACATTTAGCATATTTCGTCACCATAGTCTTTGATACACCATAGTTACGTAACACCTTTGTTTATAAGATAAACATATGCAAAGCGTTAATAACTGGCCTACAATATTTTCATTGTTGCTCACATAACTAAGTCACTAAAGGAACTTTAATTTAGTTTTTAGTAGTTTGAGCTATCACGTTGTTGATGTTTTGACTGATATCAAATCAGTCTTAATTAAGATATGTGCACTCTGTGTGACTTACATAGATAAAAAAAAATCATGACCAAAGTTTACATATAACAAATGGAGTATGGGGAGCAGTGGAATCGATAACACTCGTTTCGTCCTATTTGGGATCATCGGTTGAATGTACATGCATCCCAGAGTTGATGTTCACTCCGGGACTCGAACCCATTATTGCTCACTTTAAATGTCAATACGCTATCCACATAGCTACTGACTCCAGCAAGTCACTCACTTATACAACGACTATAAATATTAATTTAACGCCGATACAGATGCATCCAGTTGACGAGTTCAAAACAGGACGAAACGAGTCTTGTATCCCACGACTAGCTACATTCCGTCTGTTCTATTGAAGGAAATTGTTGTGAACCCTTCTTGTGTGGTGTAAAATCGTTCCATTATTACTCAAACTTTTATACTAAAAACTATCCACAATGATACTTTCCAAGCCCTTTATCAGCTATATATAAGAAAGGGTTGAATGAAGTGGTATGTCAAATACGTAGCTTCATTATAATCAGTTTTAAATAACTAAATACTACATTTAAGTGATTAATGAAGCCGATGAAAATTATGCCAGCTGAATAAAATATACGGCCGCTCTTACTAATAAGTCTAAAGATTAAGCGTTCGCGGGCCAGACCGAAGGCCCTGGGTTCGAATTCGGCGAATGGGATCGTGGATGCGCACTGCTGGGGAGTCCCAGAACAGGACGGAACGGCCGTCCAGTGCTTCCAGGTTCTCAATGGTGGTCTAACACTAATCGGTTCATGTTCTCAATCAGAAACTTAATAATCTCCACAACCCTATCCTGATAATCCCAATTTTTACAGAAAAGGAAGAGTAAAACTGGATTTTAGCGGTGATCCAAATAAAAAACAATTAAGAAACTAGTAAATTACCCTTTCCTTATGCTTCATAGTTAGTGAGGAAATTTATTTAATAATCACCCATGATGCAAATTCATTGTGTTTACGTGAATTTCAATTGTTGTACCGTTTGATAAGTACTTGCATGTTACTTTCTGGAAATCTACTCGTTGGATTCACAAATGATTAAACTGATCCTTAACCTGGAAAATACAGAAGCCGTAATAAAATTTCCGAAGACCGTTGGCAATTTTATTACTTTATTTTCAAGAATAGGATTCGCTTGTCTACTGACGAAGTTTTCTGGAAGCTGATGTCGAAGGTCTGTAACGGAGTGACAGTTAAACAAAACCACCGAGTTCTAGAGCTTTTGCTGTATCACTTTAAGGACTAACTAGCTGATTCCGATGAGCTATCGACAATTACACGATCTTCGATTAAGTAGCAAACACCTATTAATATGACTCAGTCCAGTTATCAACGACTTCATGGACCGGTACGATGTTTTGATTTGGCCGCCTCTAGCTTACTTCCAATCCACTTCTAAACTAAACAACACCCATCAAGGTAGGCACTGAGCGGGCATACATGACACATGTCCTAATCAGCCTAGTTAGTGAAGATTCACTAGCCAATCAATCGGTTCGCCATCTTTACTCCTTACCCTATCCCTGACCTACGAATTACTTACTCGGTGGTCTCAAAATACACGAGCAATGCTGTGAAGACACATATGACCAAATACTAGTGACTTACAAATACCTATTTCTTAGTAACCATGTTTCATCAGTCAGTCAGCTACAACGTAGGACCAGGCACATATGTGCATCGGTCCAGGTTGCCATACCTCATTAGCACAGCAAGATGAACAGCGGATTCATAGGAGTGGTTAGGTCAAAGGTTGCAATAAGGATATAGTATAGGAAGAAAGAATTAGTTCGTAGACAGAAAGAATGAAGTGATTTTAGTCTCTTAGTTTAAGGGAAGACAGAGAGTGTATACACCGACGCCATTGTGATCGATTCTGAGCCATGTCACGAAGAGCCATGTTTCATACCCATAAAGAGAGAACTGCTGCACATTTAGCTCGTCCTTCGGTTGGCAGATGGATATATCGCCTACGCCACAATGACAAAAATAAGGACAGGAAAGTTGGACAACCCTAGAAGACGCCGCTGGAGGTTAATAATTCTGATGACAGTTCGCACTGAGCCCTGATATTCATTCGATATTTTCCCGAAATAGTTTCATTAAAAGATGGGTTTTTAATACCTCTTTCATTGATAAGTCTGAATAGTCGTCTACCATTACTTGCTGTTGTTGCCTTTTCTATATATCATCTTCATCGAGAGAAAAACTGGTGTACAAACTATCGGACTCCTACAATGACACGTCAAGGAAAAAGATATATGTACATAGTTCCGGTGAGCAGTTCCCCTAAGGAGATTTGAGCCAGATCTTAACTTTCTATCACCGTCGGTTTGAAAACACGTGTCTATGAAATATACTCTATATTTATACTGTTCAAATAACGAATTCGACTCAACAAGTATAACTAATAATTTAAACATGAATCGTGACTAAGCGACAGTTTTTAATGCTCAAATCAACTTCCCAAAATGAAAACAAAAACAAAACTAATGAATGAAGAACGGGGAAATCCAGAAAGTTCTTGGGAAAGAAAGAGTGATTTGCCATAAGTAAGAGCAGATAAGACCATCCAGACTCCTGAACATAAGTATGGTTGGGCGTGTGATCAAGTAGTTGGTAGTCAACTTCTTACACTACAGAGTGACACCATATTACGCCACCCACAAATAAGCACTTAATTGAGAAACACATTTTATTTTGTAATACAATCATGCCGTGTAGGGAAGAGAAAAAAACTTTTGACAAAATCTATATATTTGTGATCAAATTTATACAGAAATATATAAGTAAATCTCTCGACCAGAAAGGTTAAGGTATACTTCAAGAAGGAAAAGTGAAATCATACATATACATGTAGGCAATGAATGCTTCAGTCCACTATAATATATTTTAAAAAATGAAAGACAAATGGAGCAGTGGTGTTTTGATCTGCAAAATGATAACTGGAAGTAATCTAGTCAATATAAGTAGTCCAATTATTCACGTCATATTTATGTATACTAGCACTTGGAGAGGTAAGATAAAATGAAATATGTATACAAATTATCATAAAGAATCAGTTTTTCAACAAATACAGACTTTACATGATAAAATATATAGTCCAAATAAAGGCTTTGTAAGGTAAATAAAACAATAAATTTCCTGAATGAGTAGGTACTGGTTACATATATACACAAAACAATAATCAAGTCATAAATTTATACAAGGACACATGAATATACAGACATGTTATGTAATGCACTAGAGCTTTTATAAATGCACCATTAAAACGACGCTCTTTTGCTGTGTTTACTTGAGGTTTGGCACAATTTAGTAGCATGATTGAGGCTAGAGAGGCAAATATTTATGGAATTAGAGTCGGTGTAGTGATCTTTGAAAGAAGTATTAGGACGTTTTGGCTGTAGTCGCTCAAGATGTGGCATCGGCGTCCCCCACCAAGCTGAACATGCTTCTGTAAAAACAAACTGCAAATACATCCGCTGAGTTCGCGTGGGAAACGAATATAGAAATGCTACTTCACGCAGACTATGAGATGGTTCTAAACATTCTCCATCGAGGTATAAATCTACAATTTGCCTGGTAGGATCAAGTTGATATTTGGATAGCAATAGATGATGGAGGTTAGCGACAGTTACTACAGCCGGACATAAAAGATATATTGAGTTAGAATACTGTTCATTAGAAAGTGGTGAAGGGGGTTGGGAACGACTAGATTCATTTTTTGAAGCTAATTTGAAACTGTCGTGACGTTTACAAATTACCGATTCAGATATCTTTGAATATGACGGAAAACTTGTTAAATGTATTAGAGCCAAACTCACAAATTCATCATCTGCTACTAGAAATGCGGCAGAATTTGGTAAACGGTTGGAAACAAGCATTTGAGTTGCATGAGTTGAAGAAACAAGTCCACATGGACTTTTAGAAAGCGATCGAGTTGCAAGAGCAGTTGGAAGGGGTGAAGAACAAAGATCTGTAGAAAGAAATTTATTCGAAACTACGCAGTTACTAAAGTTATACCTAGTTTGCGATAAAACAGTAAAAGAAAATCCGACGCCATAAAAAATCTACATTGACCCAAATTCAGAAACAGACACGTGAAGAATAAGAGCGGCAATAAAATGAAAAAAAACACTAGGTATTAGAGCGAAGACAAAACCAACGTCTAAGTAAAGAGTGGATACAACTGTGTAAACAATTAAAGTTTTATATAGAGTATTTATTAACTAGATTACGTCACACCAAGGGTTTAGCTAAACTAGTGATACTACAAGGTTATCTAGACGAAGTAGGTGAGGTGAAGTTGTAAGTTGAAACGTATTGGTTGAAAGCAAATTGCACCAAAAACTAAGCCATAACCCAACGAAAAAATCCTAGTTGACAGCTTTTAAAAATAGACTATATAACAATAGATATCCACCTAGATTTATTAAGAAAAATCTGACACCGAAAAACACATGTCCATAGCACCAGAGAAAACTCTATGAGCATTTAGTTTAAGAGATACTGAAGCAGAAATTCTGAAAGCATACTTCTGAGATTTTTGAGAACAACATTCTATTTGAATGAACTCCGTATTGTATTTACTAGTCGACCTGCGGTTTGTAGCTGCATGGAAGATACGCTTCCATTTTGCGCTAAATTAATGTCTTTATTTATTTATTTTAACACATAAATATTGGTACACGGAGACACCAAATACATATGCGCCATACAAATCTCATTCGATATGTGTGAGGGCTGCGATACCGCCCGGGTGCCCAAACCGAAGCAGCTGGTTGTCTTATGGGGGCCACTCCCCGAGCCTTCGACCTGAAGGTCTGATCCATAGGGCAGTGGAGCATCGTAAGGAGATGCAATCCCATGGAAGCCGGTGACCAACAATTGGTTCATACGCCATTTGTTCCCGCAGGATACTGGAGCCCATGTGCACCATTGGTTTGGAATCCGGTTAAAGCGCCGGACATTCGCTTTTCGTCCTCTCAATTTCGTAAACAAGAGTGATGCCGCGAGAAGGCAATGAGTAGGACTTACCTGGCAGAGGTTATATACGCGTGGCCATGTGAGAGCATTTCAAGAGGGAGAGCGGACTCTCCCCACTCTCGGCAGTACCAGGGCATTTGGGGGGTCTATCAGTTTACTTGTTCATGTGAAAGGGGTTATATTGGCTTCACAAAGCGAGCTCATTTGAAGCGCATCTTTGAGCATTAATCTACCTTTCTAAAGGACTACAGAAGTCAGTCGAAAGCCCAATCCTGAAACATCTAATTAATTCTAATCACTTTGGTTTACCAGATGCTTCCTTCAAAATCATTCATACAGTTGAGAGTCGACTTGAGATGAATGCAAGTTAAAAACTTATTCACAGTGGAGGCTATAGCTGTCCACCAGTTGAAGTCTAACCCTTGTGTACAAAAGCAGTATGTCCAGCCCCTTATCTTTTCATGGTCTTAACCTTCCTTTCTATCTTTCCTTATGTATCATTTTTCTCTTCCTTCCTAATCATTTTTGTAACTATTAATAATAATCGTTATTACAATTTTTAATTATTCTGTTCTTAACAGCTAAGAAGTAGATGATTGTCTTCAGTTTAACCTTTTTCACTAATCGACTGTTATACAACTTCCCCTCAATACCTGATTTTCGTGAACAGTTCATGACAAGATATAGCTACAAGCTCTCTGATAATTCAGCATCATTCTATCTACTAGACTTGCTTTTAGTAAACAAAGTGAACTGTGAATACGACTGTACATGTTCTGTAAATGAAATCGTAGAAAAGAAATCTCTCTTAGACTAAAGGCATTTACTATATAATTTTCATACGCCCGGTTGCCAGACGGAAATAATATAATGGATGATCGTAGAAATCTCAAATACAACCAAAGGTCGAAGAAGTACAAGAAGCCTTTGGTAACCCTGTAGTGTTATAGGATCTCTGTTCAACAATTAATAGGATGCACCTACTACAAATAACCATTTTAATCTGATTAAGAGGTTTGCTTAAAAACGTCTATATTTCACACCTGACAATAAAATATGATCATGCCTTCTCAATTGAGTTAATTTAGTATTTCGCAATTAGGATTCTCTTGAAGATCTTAATTTACGGTATGCCTATCGATGAATACAGATGATTAACAAGCAACTAAAATATTTTTCAAACTTTAATTTGATAACGGTGCAGCCTAGCAAATAAAAAAAGGATCGTTCAATATTTGCCACAAACGTAATATTACAGTACCGAGTTCTACGCATCATTATTGATAGTTTCCATACATTTAACATATGAGTAACTGAGACCAAATGCTACCTATGATGTGAGAAATCGTCACTTCCTGAATTCCCACACCATGTAACAATACTTCTTCTTAAAGGACCTACGTATTTAAAGGGTAACTGCCTGAGACCAGTCATATGGGTTTTTTGCAATTTTTGATGTTGGATGGATACCTCTCAGACCTTACTGTCTACAAAAAAAATCTACCGCGTGAGGCAAAATATACTATATTTAATGATGGTCCTTACTAAACCTCTTCTCCTCTGTGAGAATGCAGCGTCGTCGCAGATGTTGGTTGTCAGAGAAAACTTACTGCCACCACACCCTGAGAGTCAGAAACACGAAGTTGTTCTCAAGCCTTGTTTGTTGACCTTAGTCATATGGAACACCGATCAAATCGTCTAAATTAGCAGGATCTTAAAGAACTAAAGTGTCAGCCGTTACTAGATAGTTAGGTTGTCACAATAAGCAAACTTGGCTACATCACATTAGTAGCGACAGTGAAAAGGACTGTTAGACGAGTAGTGCTCGCATCTATCAAGTATGGACCTCCCGGATTCTAACGTGAATGACTAGTTAAAATGACAATCCTAGACTTGTGATATTACCAAATGTATCCAAGAGAAGAAAACAGATGTAACAATTTAGATCATACTTGAATCCTTGAAGTCACCCGACAAATGACCGCTTCATGGCAATTTAATGTAACACAATAATCGCCACGTTTATACTGTAAGTCAACTCTCCAGCGGCGTGTGGTGGATGAGTGATAATTAATATTACAGAGGGTTTTTGTTTCCATGACTTGTGAACAAACAAAAGGACACATACGGTCACTTACAAGACGAATGTAAAATGACTCCATCGCTATTTGGGGACTCGGTAGTAACAAGATAAAGCCAGAAAATGGAAGCAACAAAAAGTGAATGACGTATGATTAGTTTTCTTACCTGAAATGCTATAACTAGCAGTGCTACTCGGAATGCAGTTTTTGGGGAGAATTTCCTTGGTGCAAACCATTTTGTCTGTGCAGGACAACTCTTTCAAATACAATTCTTTGAATTCCGAGATTCTTTTCATCTCAGTCTTCAGTAAACCCGGGACCAATTTATATACAATCCGCTGTAAAGCGACATCGGGACGGAGGGCTTGGCCAGGTCTGGTTTCTTGTACCAAACTTTGACATAATGGACAAATTTTGTGCTCTAATAAATACTTGAGGATGCAGCTTCTGCAGAAGACATGGATACATTCTGTAAGAACAGTCGCATCTATTAAATAACCACCACACAGTCCACAAATCAGGTGTCCATTAATGGAGGAGAGTTTAACTCCAGGATATGAACTTGTCATTGATAATATCCAATTCCATGCAGATGTCTGTCAAACATCGGTAAACAAAACATCCAAAGAAGTTATTGTGGACGGCTCGCAGCGCGCCAAAAGTTCAAGTTCGAAACTGTGCGGCTGCAATATTCAAATGCACGATATTGAACGATTGCAAGAAATGAACTCTTAAATATGGAGCTTTGGATCCTTGCTCTGATTGTCCGACAAGCATTGATCGGTGAGCGTATGGGAACCATCCATACCTACTCTTATTATCATGCTGTTTCGACTTCACAGTTTCCGTTTGTCATATGAACGGTTAAATATAATCTCACAGATGCTGCTATTCTTTGAAGCAGAGTTAAAACAGAGAACCGGGATTTCGATATGCTCTCTGCACCCAACTCAACTAAGTGAAGAATGCCTATGTTTAAATTACTTATACATTAAACTTACAATTCTTGGATGACAATGACAAGGGGCACATGTATTTCGATGATAATCTAACTTTAGTTAGATACTGGGCTGTTAAAAGTGAAAAGCCCGACGTGATTCAAGCAGACAGCCTTCTGATTCATAACGTGAACGATAACGCGCACTGACTTCTCATTCTATAATTATTATCAATTACAGTACAGTAACGAAATTCAATTTTCTACTCATTGGGATATTACAAATATATTATTTTTATTTATAACAGTCAACCCAATGTTCAATTTATTCGAAATTATCAAATCGAACCTTGGTAATGACATCCAGCAATTTGGTCGCACGTTTACGGATCGATTAGTCTTGTCCTACAACTAGTAACTCTATATATGTAAATTCTAATCAGCTAATTACTAATTGACGTTATATGCTCCCTTGAGGCCTAGTAGAACGGGTTTGTATTTCATTATTCCTTATCCTTATATTATATCAACACCACAGATCAATATCTGTTGTGTTCTGCCGTATTTATTTTTGCAACATACTTCGTTGCCATATCCATAATCGATAAACGATTTACTGCTTTTTTCACAGTATTTTGAATCATTCATATGAGCGTATTATTTTATCATTCATGCCGTCACAACGTAAATGCTTTTTTGCTTTTGCATGCTTACTAATTAGCTCATAATTATGCGCTAACACTTTCCTTCCCTGTCTGCATCTTTACGATGTCTATGTATTCCTCTTTACATAAGTATGACACTTCTTCATTATACACTCACTCGCCCCCTGACAATTTACTCTATCAGACATAGTACACATTTTTCTTCGCTACCCATTGGTAATTTAACGACACACCTCTTCAGTATTATATTTGAAAGCAAACATTTTTTCAAATTAATATGCTATTGGTCAGTTTTCGCTTTTGAATGCATGTATTCTTCCTCATTTGTTTTGCGTACCAGTGTTACCTCCAGATATTCTGGGGGGAGGTATGTGAGGATAGTTAAACTAGACTTATTTCGTAATTAGTTTTTGCTACTATCTGCACTTTTCATTAATTCTCATAATTTGCTCAATTACCAGTGTCGCCTGTGAAATTGTCGTTAAGGAAGCATGACCTTTGACCTCCCGTTCCGGTTTGTGAACATATATAACATGACCCACTGATTATCGATCAAAAATACACTGCTGCACACAGTGTAATACTCCCTACAAAGTAGTATCAAAATTATGATCAGGAGAACTAAATAATTCTACAAATATTCCCAGCCGACACCCGGATAACAATGGTCAGTTGCTGCAGAGTCCAACCTTGAGTTCAGTCAATCGAGACTTGGTCGTCCATAAGCCAACACAATACAACTACTAAAAGAACATTAAAACAAACTTTAACTAACCGGCGAGGTAGTCCGCCTGACTTTCAGGTACCTTTCAAGTGAAAGCTTAATAAATTCTTAAAGACTCATAAGAAAATCTTACTACAAATTACCAGTATTCCCTTTTTATTGTCAAATATGTATAGGTTTCATTCTAGAGGCATTGGTGATCTACTGCTACCAGATATGAGCTCCTGTTTAGCGAACGCCTCTCAGAACCACTTGGACCACTTGGAAGCATAGATTTAATTGTTTTATATAACTTAGGAAGACTGGAACTACAAATAAAAAGACATGGCGATATAAACTTGAGCAAACAGTTGATGAGACCTAAGATATCTATTCGTGAGAAATGTGAAATTTACACTCGTATATCAACTGCTCCTCATTTCAGAGACACCAGGATTCGCTTCCATGGCCTGAATCTGTAGCTTTACGCCCTACGTCATAGTTATTCCTTCCGTATTGTCTCTGAGAGGTTTCGAAATCTGTTCTTGTGATGGGCAATAACTCCGACATAACCTGGATGATACGTGATTTCCTGTCTATAGACATAACCATCCATGTTAATCGTTACTCCCAGGACTTTAAGCCTGTTTCTCCGGACTACATTGTAATGAACTCTTACTTGCAATTGCTGTCGCTACACAGCACATGAGAGCTTTCATTTTCTGCAACTCTTCCGGCCTCTTAGCTTGACGTGAGGACACAGTAACCTTCTCCTAACAGTTTTTTGCCACCCCTTAATCCGTATCCCATTTTGGTCCAGTGATGATGTCGACAAAATATTGAAGATGATAAGCGTAAACGCGTAGAAGACCTAGTTACAGAGGCATAAAAAACTGTAAGAGAATGGAATACGGGAGAACCATGTCGTACGATGAAGAGGCTTGCAAGGATTCATCTTAAATTAGATCGACCGGTCATAACAAAGTGTTAAGATTTTTTAATTTCTCTGTCCCCGTTCTTCACTTAACAACTCATTTTTGTGTGTGTATTGTCATATACTAATTACTAATATTCAACAAATAGTTGTATTTCTATCAGTGTCTACGCGCATGTTGTAACGTAGTTTGTCATGTATTACTCTAAAATATTTACACATACTTATAACATTTACTATATTTATTACTGTAAATGATTCCTATCAACCCCTGTATTAAGTATTCCCAATTTTGTCAGATATTTGATTCTCTGTTTAAACACAACAGGTTCCTTATGTGTTTGCCTTTGGTTTTCTTTTTGCTAGTTTGCAAGCTATTATCAAAACTTGACACAGGTATCAGCTATCACTCACACTATCAAATGTCACAATTATTCTTTGTGTCATTAGTGCAGGAAGTCTTTTTTTTATTTCAGATTTACAGATGAGCTAAGCGCCACCGATACTTTATGACGTGAGGTTTGTAGCTAATTTATGTTTGTTCTTCAATGAAGAAAAGGTTTTTAGACAAATTGCTGTTTTGTGAACTTCAGTTTCACGAGTCTAACAATCCTGTGGTTAAATGGTTCGATAGATTTAGGAGAGAGGAAGCCACTTAATGAAGATCAACAGGGACAGAACTGATGGTTGGAGTTACTGAAAAGTTATTAAATCGACTAGCACCACCGAATCTACTGAACATCGAAGCCTCACATACAGACCTTATAGATGATACCACATAAACCGTAAAAGGAACTCACAAAATCATCAGACAAGTCAAGAATGGCAAAGCATCAGGATCAAATACCGTTCCGGGTGAAGCACTGATGCCTGGTGCATACGCAACTGCAAAGATGTTCTGTGTTCTTTTTGGAAAGATCTGAGTGGAAAAGAAAGTATCAACAAGCAGGAAAGAAGAATAGCTCACCGAGATACTAAAGAAAGGAGATGCTGGTAAGTGTGAGAACTATAGAGACATCACATACTGTTATAACTTGTCGTTTGAATGCTTATTGTCTCGGCTCGTTTAATGCTACTTCAGCATCTGGTCGTCGCTGATTGTTATGTCGGAAACACTTATCACTTATGGGTGATCTTATCCGCAACGCAACCAATGTAAACTTAATGTATCGCACACTGTCATTTGTGCGTTCAAGTAACCACATATTTTGTCATTTCATAATGTATTTTTAATTAAATAACTAGATTATGTAGTTAATTTTTCTCTGTTTTTAATTTTTATTTGCCACGTCTGACTGCGTTACACTGTACGTCCATTGCACGCTGAGATGATATCTCAAGTCATAGTGATTTTATTCACATAGTTGATTGTTTCCAGATAGACTGTCAGTGCATGATTTTACTGAAGAAAGGTTTGTTGTACTGTAAACTGTGTTTCTATGATCAACTTCCTATTGTCTTCAGTATGAATTCATACTGAATACTGCTTTAAAGCAGTATATATGTATCCTTCTTTTTTTCTTAGGTAAGTTCAACTGGCCTATATTTCGTGTTTTGATTTTATCGGCTTAATTATGTCCATTTACCTACTATGAGCAACATGTCTTTGTAAGTGAAACAATAACTATGACACTTGCTTAGTTTAGTGTTCTTGGTTGTCGTATAATTCAGTTTAGTTGAAAGAATTATGATATACTTAAGTATAGTGCTTGAAGTCTGTAACGAAACAGATCAGTTTAGTAAGTAGAGTTGCCTGTTTCTAATGTGTATACGGATTCAGATCAGTCTGATTAAAAATAGGAAAAACCGTGCCTTTGATGCTGTTGCTATCATACATTATAAGATAGCGATAAGTATGTTTGGTGTTTATTTCTAAACTGTACATCTATCACTGACCATATTTCATGATCACTGTCATTAAACAATTTCCCCATCAATAACATCGGTAGCAAGATAGCTAAGTGTCTGAGCTTTTAGTTGCCCGCAAAACAGCAGTATACAGTCTTAGAAGATGAATGTTCTGTGTCTCAATTAAATACAGCTGGCTGTGGACAAATGTTAAAAATCTTTTGGACAACTGGGACTTTTAGTTTATCATACACTTACTCTGCTTGTATGTTTTCCTGTTAAACTAGACGCAGATGCATGGGAATACTTAAATGGGAGCAAAATAATAAAAACATTGCAATACGGTACTAAGCCCATGTTATGCTTTGCGCAAGTAATAGTAGCTGACCTTATCTAATATTCATGAACTCAAGGTAAATCACAACTGCATAAATTCTTTGCTAAAAAACATATGATTTGGTTATTTATATATTCCACATTTC